GCTGGAATAATTAGTGGACTTGGAGTAGGGTTGAGGCTGTGTTGCTCACTGTTGCTGTGACTGCCACTGTTGTAGTTCTTGCTATAGCTACCCGGGTGGTAAGGACGGTGCTGCCAGATAATCATGCTGGAAGGTCCACCCTGATGTCCCATCGTGAAAGGAAGCTTCTGACTGATCCCCTGGGAAGTCCTGAGCTGAGCTGGCTTCCTCTTACGATTCATCTTGTTGCACTGCTCTTCCTGACGGATAGCCTTGTCCACAAGCTTCTCAAGGTCCTCATAATCCTTGGAGATCAGTTGGTTGGTCAATTCATCATCAAGACCAGACAAAAACTTCTCCTGCCTCTCGGCATCAGTGCGCACGTCCTCAGGAGCGTAGTGTGCGAGGCGGTTGAACTCATGCAGATACTCTATAACTGTCCTAGTTCCTTGCTGCAAAGAACGGAACTCTCTCTTCTTTTGTGCCACAATTCCCTCGGGAACCTATGCCTTATTGAAACTCTGACAAAACTCTGACCAAGTAACCTCTGTCCCAGCTGGACGGGTCACCATGTAGTTGTCCCACCAAACAGAAGCAGGACCTTGCAGCTGGTGTGTAGTAAAAGCAACATTCTCTTGGTCGTTGCATTGCAAAAGATTCAACTTCTTCTAAAGTCGCATGGAGCCAATCGTTGGCCTCGATTGGGTTGGTGGTGCTTGAGAAAGTGGGCGGCTTGACACGGAGAAACTCCAACAGTTTGGACTGGGCAGGTGGAAGACCAAACTGCAGGTTCTGCTGCTGCTGCTGTGCTTGCTACTGCACCTACTGTTGCTGCATCTGTTGCATCATCATTGTCATCATCTGAGTCTAATTGTCCAACACCTGAGCGATTGTTGGGTTCTCGGGCGGTGGAGACAGACTGTTGTCAGACGTATCGCTGGCACGTGCTCCACTGATATGCTCTTCGCTGCCACTGGTGTTGTTGGATTCACGGGAACCATTCCTTGTCTTCACCATCTGAAGGGGGATAGGTAGAAATATGAGGAAAGGAAGAAAAACAGGGGGCTTAGAAACTAATCTTTCTTATAAATTTAAGTGCAATTATCTTAATCTTTATTAAAACACTGAAAAAGAGGCACGCAACTCCTAATTAAGGCAGCCATACCACTGACACATGATATCGACCGCCGACTAACCCACAAGCAACAAACCTAAAACATGGAAACTAGCAAGCAAATAGACTAAGCAGACGATAAAGCTAAGGGCGGCGACTCTGAAGCTCGGAGCGGCGCTTGCGATCGAGGAACAGGTCTAACACCTAAGATGGACAAGGGATAGGAACCAATGCATGCTCAAATCCAAATAAACAAAGCAACAAATGACTCAAACAAATAACTGAGCATGGTGATTTTTATGCATGGAACATTTTTCATGAACCCAGATGAAGATACTAATGCAACTGACTAAACAATAAATTAATGCATAAAATAGATGCATAGTTATAATGATACGCACAAAATTGCCCCATCGAACATAGACACGACTTAGTGCATATCACCCGATATATTCCCGACTGACTGTTGAATAAACTCCAAATAAAATTTTTCTAAAACCCTAGACTGAGCTAATTTTAAAGATCCGATCTGAACGACCAAGATTTTTCCCACAAACCAAAGAGGCAAAACCCCAAATTTTCCCGAAACAAATCCAAGTGCAAAGAGCATATGCAGATGAAAAAGGGGTTCAGAGGGCTCTTAGGTTTCCAGTTGGCTTGTCCTACGGTCAAGGTCGGCTCTGATACCAACTTATCACGCCCAGAAATTCACGAACCAGAATTTCTAAGCTGAATGTGCATTAAACCCCTGTCCAGGACCAGCCAGGGTACACAAACGACAATTGTTGACATACAGATCCACGTCTTACAAAAATAGAAAAGATTACAAATGCAGCGGAAAAAGATAAAACGAGCTAGACTTGGAAGCTTGAATTCTGCAGCGAGGCGACTCCACTCCACAGGCATCCCTTGACGGCAGCGACGAAACCAACCTCAACAAGACGGCTCCAACTATGAAGATCTTCAGCTCTGGTGTGGGGGAAAAGAGAGCAAGACTGAGTACTACCCACTGTACTCAGCAAGTCATACCGGAAGAGGAGGTATGATGCAGGATATATCCAAAGGAGGCTAAGGGGTTCCTTTGCAATAAAGTAGTCATTTAAAAGAAGTAGTTGAAAGCAGTAAAACAATTGTAGTAATTAAGCAGTATTAACCAATCACTGTCCAACGCTACACCACGTTGCAATAGGCCCAACCAACCACCTGAACTACACCAGTTCATTAAGCTAAGCTAGGGGTGAGACTAATCACGGTGAATCTGGTTGATCGCCCATAACCGCGGGCACGGCTATTCGAATAGTTTTACGCTGGCCAGAGGTGTACAACTGTACCCACAAGACACGATTCCACACATGTCGCAATGCCCCGAAGTATCACCATGATACTGCAAAGGAGAGAAATCGTGACAAGACCCTCCGCATAACCCTCCCCTAACCATCCACACCACGCTAAGGTTTCACCCTCACCCCTCAAAAGGCAGTGGGTGGTCCCCTCTTGCGCCGCGGTGAATCCGGCAGCTGGACAACCGGACACCCCGGCTGACCCAACTCCATCACGCCCACCCTCGCCACCGGTGCCTAGGAAAGGGTCGAGCTATACTTCAGATCAAGCAGTTGCCCACTCCCGCTTGTGGTAAGCACGGTAAGTCTCCCAGGGTTTCCCGTGAACCGGTCCTTAATTGCCATGGGTGCGACCAGCGAAACCATGCACCCACAGCCCACCATTCAGTGTATTTTAATTAACTAACACCATTTCGGTGGCACCAATCCAAAGCTATGCTAATAGTCAAAGTCTATGTAATAATGTGATCCCCATTTGTGTACTAGTTGAGCTAGGCATGGCTAAGCATTTCCTAAACCAACATCTAGTCATTTTGATACCCAAGTCATCAATGGCATAAGGTAAACAATATATGGCTGAGTAATAGGACCCATCCCACATGACATTGTAAAAGAATGCAACATTTAATAGAAATGTGGGATATTTGTAAATTGGGTACAATATGATCAATTGTAATGCATGACTTGCCTTGCTCTAGCACTGATGAGACCACAGCAATGTCTTCGAGGAACCGCGGATCGACGAAACGGCCGAAATCTACGCGACAAACAAAGCACACAAGCAAAACATGCTATAAGACTACTGAAACAGAGAACAAAACTATTTTTAATGAATTCTAGGGATTTTTATGAATTTACTGACAGTTGAATAGACTTAAACGGAGCTCGGATGAATTACTTATGAATTTTAGAAGATAAACTATGTTTTTACTAATAAAGAAAAAGGCCTTAATTAATTATTGCGCAATAAATCCCCAGGGCGGATGTCAGCGAAAGGGGGGGCAGCTTGGCAGGCGGGGTTCACGGGTCAGCGGCTCAAAGGGGGTGGTCCACCGTGGACCGGGTCCACGGGGCCGGGGTGGTGGTGTACCACGTGGCGCCGACGTGGCACCACGTGGCTGGCCACCCAAGCCATGGGATGGACGGCCACGATCGGCCGAGGGCCGATCGGGCGGCTGGGGACGGGCGACACCGAGGCCAACCCGGGCATGGCACACGGTGGCGAACGGCGGCCGGTGACCGGCGACCGGCCGGTGGCAGCGGCCGGCAACGCGGACGGCGGCGCAGTGCGATGGCACGCATGCGGGGAGCGGCGGCGCGCACGAGAGAGGAGTGGAAGGGGAGGAAAAGGGGGTCCTCACCGGAGAGGCGACGATGACCGGCGCGGGAAGAGACGAGCGGCGGCGGCGCTTCGGACAATGGCGGACGGGGTCGGGCACAACCTGGGAAAAGCGATGACCGGGTTAGGAGAAGGGGAGGATGACCACGGCGACTAGAGCGGCCGGCCAGAGTTGGGCGGAAATGGAGAGCTCACCGGCGTGCGAGGGAAGCGGCGCTTCGGCGATGTTTGGTGGCAAACGAGCGACGGCCGAGGTAGCGGCGGTGGTTGCATAGCGCGGCGGCGAGCCTAGCAGCGACGGCGCGCGGCCGGAGGTCGGCGGCGGGCGGCGGAGCTCGGTGTGACAGCGTGGGCGCGGTAGGGGGCATGGGAGAGGACGGCGAATGGGGGAAACGAGAGAGTAGACTCGGGGGAGTGATTTTATGGGCGCGGGAGGGGCGGAAACGGGTGGGGTGGCCCCCTATTTGGCCGGCGACGTGGGGGTGGAGAGAGAGAGGGGAGAGGGCAGCGACGTGGGCGCGAGGTGGGGGCGGAGTGGGGGTGCGGAGAAGGGCGGGAAACCGCGGCGGCGTGGGCAGTTTCGGCGGTAGGTGGGCCCCACCTGTCGGTGACCCGGGGAGAGGAGGGAGGCGGCTTGGGCCGGCCCAGCAAGAAGGATGGGGGCGCGGGAGAGAGATGGGCCGACGGTCCATCAAGAGAAAAAAAGGAAGGAAAAGAAAAAAGAAAAAGGAAAAGGATTTTCCTGGGATTAAAATTGCACCTTGATGATTTTAAATGGTTAAAAATTATTTATAGGGCTCTGAAAATTCCGCTAAAAATCATGTTAATGCATTGCGACATGTGGAACCCAAGAAAAATCCCACGATGCCAATTCCAATTATTAATTGCATTTATTAATTAGGGAATTAGCTCTAGGTTAATTCAAACCATTTCTTCGGATGATTTATTTAACAAATTTTAAGGAAAGAAGAAGGGGAAAACTTGAGAGCGTGACATCATCACGCATAAGTACACTAGTGACATGTTTTTGGGTTGGTACAATCCTCTACACTGCCAAAGCAATTTCTAGCAAAATATATATATATAAAAAAAAGGTTAGATATGAGAGCAAGAACTTCTGTATCGAATTTTATAAAGAGGAGTGAGACCTCCAGTCGTTTCTCATTAATCATATTGCTCAATTGTTCAACTGCTTTGGTTTCATTAATAAAAGAAAGAGAAAAAACCATTGTGTGAAGCTTAAGAGCCGCTTCTAATCTGCCCTTGTCTAACACATTCATTTATCTTTAATCTGTTATCCATGCCTGTCCCTGAGAAGAGTTCAGAACAAGCCTTGTTTGTTAAACATTCCGATTCATTACATGAATACGAAGCTTCCTCTTTTTTCTATACATGAGCAGCAATCGAAGATGGTCTCCATACTCTCTAGCATTTCTTAACCTACACAAGTTGAACCCTCCTCCTCCTGACCGACCAACGCACCGAGCTGGTGACCAAACTCTTGGCTAACTTCCGGCATTTGTTGTGCATATGTTTCTGAAATCTTTTTTCATCAGGATGCAAAAGCAAAAAAAAAAGGCCGTCGTGATCGGGATCACGACTTGGTCTTGAAGGGGACGTAGTGCTTGAGCGACTCGCTGACGCCCTCGATGGAGGCGACGGCGGAGGCGAGCGAGACGAGGAAGCAGAGGAGGCTGAGCGTCTGCAGCGCCACCCACCTGGACGTGTACCGCTGTATCCGCCGCTGCCGGATGTACATCTCCACCGGGTAGTACACCGTCAGCGGCCAGAACCCGACGGCGCCGAGGAAGCCCAGGATGTCGTTGAAGAAGGGCATCACGATGGCGAGCACCGTGCTGACGACCACGAACGCCGTCCGCCACGTCAGCCTGAACATGTTGACGCTGAACGACCTGCCGGCCACGACGGGGCGCTCCCGGGTGATGAACTCCGAGCCCGGCCACCGCCTGGCGGCGAACGTCTCGACGGCGGCGAAGATGGGCTGGCAGAACACCTGGTAGGCGCCGACCAGGTGGACCACGATGCAGACGTTGGCGAAGTCGATCAGCCAGTAGGGCTCGTAGAAGCCGAACCCGGTGAGCATGTTCCCCGGCGCCGCGTTCCCGAACGCCGCGTACCCCAGGCACCCGCACAGCATGTAGAACGCCGTCGTGGTCGACACCCCCAGCAGCGTTGCCTTCTTCATCGTCTTGTTCTCCGCCGGTGGAGACTTCACCGTGTCCTGCAATTTCAAATGCCATTTTTTTCAGACTCATCATCGGTTACTTAAAAACCTTGCAAGCAAACAAACTGAGACATGTTTGTGACTGTTGCTCAAATGTTTCTCAAACTCTGAACTTTGCTGTGCACAGCTTACCTGAATTTCTATAAGGATCATGGAGTAGGAGTAGGCGAACGCGATGTCACCGAGCGCTTGGAACGCGAGCCAGATCTTCTGGGCTGAAGTGACGTCAACTCCAACCTCAACGCCAGTCAGAGTAGTCTTACCAGTAGCACCTGTACAGACACATGGAGATGATGAGAAAGCTTACAAACTATATATGCAGTGACACTGATACCATCTTCAGAAAGATTTCTTCACCTGATATTGTTCGCGCAAGCGAGAGGCCAACGGCAATGGTCGAGTATGAGAATGACATGACCGCGGCGAGGATGGAAAGCCATGAGAGGTCACTGAAGTTGGGCAGCATGGAGAAGAAGATCTGGACGACTCCAAAGACGATCATGTACGTGGTGTCGTAGACACCGCAATCGGCATCGTGGCCGTTCTTGTGGTAGCAGTTGGCCTTGTGCACAGCCCTGTAGAAGATCATTCAAATTAACCTCAGAAGTCAGAACCGTGCATAGCATTGAGTTGTGAAAGCAATGGAGAATTGTAGTATGCCATTGTGATTTATGAACAGATCAATTCTTCAGAACTTACGCTGCGCTGATGGATGCTGTGATTGTGTACCCAATTGCTGTCCCAACCAGGTTGACATATTGGAAAACACCACAGGACCAGACTTGCCAGCCACCTGCATATTTAAGAACAGCAACAAGGCTCGTATGACATCTCTGAATTCAGAGAAAAAATTCTAAATTCTCTGACGCATGCATATCGATGTTCATGTAGACACAGCTTGTTATTCCTACCTCCATTTCAATTTCAAAATGTATGACGGTGTTGATTTTTCGTATAACGTTTGACATTCGTTTTATTCAAAATTTTAGTGTAAATATGTAAAAGTATAAGTTAAGACTAGTTTCTATATTGATAAAACAAGTCACAACAAAATAAATAATATTTATATAATTTTTAAATAATACGAATGAACAAACATTATATTAAAGTCAACAGCTCCATATATTTTGAAATGGAAGGAATAGTATTTACCTAAGTAGGCCGCAACGGCATCCATGTAGGTGTAGTTGCGCTTGCCGCTGACCGGATCGCCAGTGCGGTAGCAGTCGGCGAGGAGCCCAGAGGTGTAGTACGTGATGAGGGCGAAGAGCATCAGAGTCACCGGCCCGACCACCCAGCCGAGCTGCGCCGTTGCCCATGCGAGAGAGAGCACGCCGGAGCCGATCACCGCCGTGATGATGTGCGCGCTCGCCGTCCATACGTTACCTGCTCAACGAATTGCACAAGTTTTCAGTCCTTCAACATTCTGAAAATTCAATCATTTCATTTATGACTTTAATTCCTTTCGAATTTCAGTTCTTGTCTCCTTGATATTTACTCATAATCTCAACTGTGAACAAGTTCACTCCACTTAGTGACAGCATGCACCAAACCGAGGGTAAAAAATGATTAATACCCACATGCATCCATGGTTTATGATCTGTAGCCCCTCAATCAGTCTATGTATGCATACAGTTAATGAGTTTCTAAAGAATGATTAACACAGTGCCTTGATTAATCGGATGAGGACACATGCACACTTTGGGACAGAGTACAAGACCCATGTCCCATGCCAACTGAAACAGAATAGACAATTCCAAACAAATCATTGAGCCATGGAGACTGTCACCCTCTGAAGAACACAAGTCAACAACTCAACATATATAAAGGGCCTACACATGTGAACATGTGATCTCTTGATGAACACAAAGGTCTAGTATCATCCCGGTAGCTAGAGAGTCTCCCATCTGAGAAGGTCAGACTCCATAGTACTCTCTACTCTATTCATAAATGCATTGACGTTTAGAAAGCGTTCAGTGAAAAATATTTTCACTTTAACCATTCAAAAAGGCCCACTAACTATATCAATGCACAATACCTGTCATGAAAAATTATCCCAAAAAATACCATTACAATAACTCCGCAAGATTTAGATAGCTTTATTTTTAAAAAATCCACATATTTTGTGAAAAAAAATCCCCAAACCACCGTACGCAGGGAGCACACCACGGTTGTACAGCACGAATACGGAATACTCAGTACCGCTACACTAGCCTACACTATCCTACACGGAGTAGAGTTGTCGTGCGTAGAGCTGTGCGCCAAAAGGTCAGAAACAGCAGGTCTACGGCGCATCTATTACCCTCGCATCGGTCACCTCATCCCAAAGACTATCCAGCCCATGCCTCGCAGTCAAAAGGTCTGGCCATTTTCTTCTCCTTCACAATATGGGCTGTGCCTAGTACTCCGTTGAAAGAACTGAGATAAGACAAAAGTCCACTATATATATAGTGGATCCACTTAGAGCCCGTTTAAGGGAGATTTTAGCTCCTGCAGCTTTTTCCAGAATCAGAATCTCCCCTAAATAGATCAGTTTTTGGTATAAATTCTGAGAAGCTGTAGTTATAGAATCTAATTTTTCCAGATTCTTAGAAGTTGGCTACCAGCTGGTTGTTGATCAGAATTTTAAACTCCGCTAAACAGACCCTTAGTCCGTGATTAAGGTCTTGGCAGTTGGCACTAAAGAACTTCACATTACAGAGAAACAAGGGCCCTCTAGAAGGAAGAAAACTCAAAACATAAGAATAGGGAAGAGTATGTAAAAGCACATGAATAGGATGGCATAGTTTCTTCAATTCTACATACAGTATGATTCTACGAGAAAGAAAACTTTAAAACAGGTGTTTAGGTACAGCTAGAAAAAAAAAAAGATTGGTTCATGCCGACCACCAGGCCTTAGAAACTACTCCCTCCGTCCCTATTCTGAGTTTTTATTTGCACTATTTGACCACTCATCTTATTTAAAAAAATTTGGAATTATTATTTCTTTTTATTATTTACTTTATTATCCAAAGTACTTTAAGCACAGCTTTTCGTTTTTTCTATTTGCACAAATTTTTTAAATAAGATAAGTGGTCGCAAACAAAAACTTAAAATCCCTAGTCACGTCGGATGATATTATCTTATGAAAAAAATTCCAAACTATTTACAAGATTGTCATTACAAAGGAATTTCAAAGGAAAAGATATATGAAGGGTTTTTTTTCTACAAACCAAAGAGCGTTTCCGTAGAATCAACAAAGCTTTTACGCATTTCGAATAAAATACGAGATCACTGCGTTCCAAACCAAAATATGTTGAAAGCACGCAATCATCAGTTGGTGCTGCGTAAAAGGTACGAGGACATAGATTCCGGCCGATCGGAAGCGGCCAGGCAGAGGCGCAGAGCCATCCAAAGAGGGGCTTTCAGGCCGCCGGAATGATTCCTTGACGAGTTCAGCACCAGTTACTTTAGATATGATCTCACTGAAGCTGACTAACGATAAGATAATCGATATTGGTAGCTTAAAGTGGACCGCTCAACCAAGCATATATCCGTTTTTCGTCAAAAAGTACGGTGACTTTTATGAATTTTCCACCAAACACGTTGTGCCGTTCAAGGAATACAAATTGCAAAAAAGCAGCTAGTACTACTATACGCTTTTTGCGAGTCAGAATTGCACGCGTGGAAATGCGCTGTCGCATGCGCGTGTGTTCACACGTACACGTACTATACTGCCCGTGCCACGTCACACTCCGTGAAACAGCACGTCACTTGTTGATCAGGGGGAGCTTTTATTGCGAACGTGGCATCATCTAGACCGTGCATGCCTCAGATCGAGTGGCTGATGCGCGTTGACCGTGGGGGTACGCGGCTGTTGACCAGCGCGCGACCCCCTGCTGTGCTAGGTGCTGTGGATGGTTGGCTCTGGCCTCTTGCATCCAGCATCCGACAGCGCGCACGACGCGGAACGGCGCAAGCCAAATTATTCACGTGATATAAAAATTAGTTAATTCTTGATTAACTAATTTTTTTTTTCGATTAGATAGCACATACACATACACATGAAACACTAAAAGATGAAGGGCTAATTTGGATTGCTACCAAAAACTGCCCTACCAATATTTTGGTAATTTAAATAGTACTTGTGTTTGATTTGAATTGAAGCCCATTTATTGGTACTCCTACCTAATATAGATTTGGCATTATGAACATTCTTTACTACAATTTCACATTTTGACTCTATGTTGTAGCAAACCAAATATGATAAAAAACAATCTTACCTTACCAAATATTTGGTAGTGCCAAAACTTGCCTAGATTTTGGCACTACAAAAAATTGGTAGGGAAACAATTCAAATAGACTCGAAAACCCACACATTTTTATAAATATGTTCCCTAATATATGCCCTAAAAGATGAAAACTAATAAACTAGCGATATATCCCTGATCTCATTAAAATTTTAGGCCGTGTTTAATTCCAAAATAATTCTTCAAACTTCTAACTTTTTCATCATATCAAAACTTTCCTACACACGCAAACTTCTAATTTTTCTGTCACATCGTTTCAATTTCAACCAAACTTTCAATTTTGGTATGAACTAAACAAGCCTTAACACGGGATTTTAGTCTTGATGGGTGAAGCGATATATAGTTGATCTCACTAAAATTCATGCACGGATTTTAATCCTAATGTGTGAAGTGTCCACGACTCCACCACCATACCTCCCGTGCTTCCACTAACTAATTAATTAATTTTGAACCTCTACATACTTAATTAATTAATTAATTAATTTTGGACTCTAGGAACAGACAGATCTAGACGAAGTGCTGGAAAAAAAAACCCAGCGTACACGTCGCCGGACGCTTGCATGCGCTCCGTTGGGGAACCCAAAAAGGGAAACACAAACACAAAAAAAAAAGCGCACACCGTTTATCTTGAACGCAGTAAAAATTCTCCAGGGTTTCACTTCACAGAGAACACTGTAGTTCGATTTTTTTTTACCACGATACATACGCACAACGATGTCCATTCATGGCGGCTTAATTGGCGGTGTTGGCTATGGACGAAGCCTACCGCACCAGAGCGCCACCAACCAACCAAAATCCATGGGAGTTTCCGGGAAAAGGGAGGAAGAAAACGCAGAAGTCAAGCAGTCAGCACCAACCAAAAATCCATCCGAGGCGGCGCCGCGCCGCTCGCTAGATTGGAACAGAAACCGAGGAGATGACAAGGGTCCAGCTAGGACCATGGTTGTTCACGCCTTCCGATCCCTTGAAACGTTTCGGTTTTTTTTTTTTGAATTCGAACTACTTTGTCTCGAATTTGAACCAACTTTTCGTGGAGTTTTCCCTACCAGAAATCTCGCGTGCACCGTGTTTCTAGACCTCCCTTTTGATGAGTAGGATGATCCACTCGACTCTAAGCGAGATTGATAAAGCGGGCATATATGCGCCCAAAAATAGGAAGCAAAAACCGCAAAAAATCCAATCCACCACAAGGACACGCACGCACCGCACGGAAACACAACAGCACAGCCACATCATCATCCATGGCGGAGGGAGGAGAAGAGGAGGGTTAACGAGACGGGGGAATCACGAGGGGTCGGGGTCGGGTTTGATCCGTACCGGTTCGCCGCTGCTTGCCGTCGTCGTCGACGTCCTCGCCGCCGGCGCCGCCGTGCGGGTGGGTGGCGTAGTAGCCGCCGCCGCCGCCGCCGTCTCCGTTCCGCACCGCCATCTCCACGTCCTTCGCCATCTCGCCGCTCGCGAGTCGCAAGTCGCAACCCTTCCCTCTCTCTCGCTCGCTAGGCCGGGTGGGGATTGTGTGGGGAGAGGATGCGATGCGGGGGGAACGAGTGAATGGTGGCAGTATATATACACTACAAGTGAATGGTACTCGACGCGTATGGCGGCAGGGTCCCTCGTTCACCTTTTATTTTTTCTGTTTTGGTTTCGGTTTTTTGTTTTTGGGCAATTTATCGAAGCGATTTGAATGGACGCGGCTTCCGTTTTAACCTGTTGATTGCAAATGCATGGAGGTCAAATATGGGCTCTGAAATCGGAAATCAATGGTGGTTGGAGAGATTCAGTTTTTTTTGTTTTTCATTGCAGGATTCCTGTGGAATGTGGAACCGAAGTATTAATGAAGTGGAATCTCTGGCAGAATATTATCTTTATTTCTATCGTTATCTTTATCTCTATAGTATATCCCTCCATCCTCTCTCTCACTTCCTCCTAAAAAAAATTTTCCTCATATAAAACCTGATTTCTAAAATCCAACCATTATCACTGTCTCTCTACTACTACCTCCGTTTCACAATGTAAGTCATTCTAACATTATATCTATCTAGATTCATTATCATCAATATGAATGTGGGAAATACTAGAATGACTTACATTGTTAAAATGGAGGGAGTACTTAAAAAGAAGTCATCCACCCCTCATCCCCTCCCTCACTTTCTCAAAAGAAACCATTTTCCTCATGTAAAAACCGATTTCTTAAAAGAATCCGATCATGATATAAAAAACCAATCAACCCACTCTGGTCAAATCTTTTCACTAAATTGGATAAAGAAATCGTTGCAATGCACTTGACTGCACGGGACTATAACTAGTTGCCAATAAAATAATAATTGTTATAAAAGTTAGTTGATATAGCAAGATATAGCAAAATGACAACTAACATTTCCGATCACTGCAACTATTGTTCAATTCAGATATACTACATTATGATATAGGAACGCACGATATTTCTTAACGGGGTTCAACCGAACCCATATCTCATGGTTCTAACTATAGGCGTTTCTTCTAAATCAACATAGCATCTCCGCTACGAGTTTATGGCCTTGTCGTCATTATCTTCCTGCATGTCTACGCTATATTGTATTCCAGTTGACATGGTTACGTTGTGACATTCCCTTCTCTATTTAAAGAGTTGTTGAGTCACAAAGTTTGACTTTTTACTCCACCTCATAGCATCTATTGTAACTCTAAGTTCAATTGTAACCTATTAATATATTTGATAACTATTTTAACTGTCATGATTACAGATAATTTGCCATTTTAATTTTGCTCATAGGAATTAAGAAAATTAATCCAGTGGCTTTTGTTGTCGTTCTTTTACACTAATCCCTCGCTCCTAAAATATAATTGCTTCTATAGTACTCCCTCTGTTCCATAATATAAGGGATTTTGAGTTTTTGCTTGTACTGTTTGACCACTCGTCTTATTCAAAAAATTTACCGGTGAGTAGGTAGCATTTTATTTACCAAGAAAAAAGATTAAAGAATGACTAGATGTTCTGTAAATGGTTTTTATTTAGAAAATAGTTAATGGCTAACATGATTTGCATTTGAAATCGAATGAAGTAGAATTATTTTTGCAATCACCAGAACATGGTTTGGTCTCTAAAACAGCTCATGGGATGCTATGATTGCTAGTATACCATAGATCAAGAAGCACACATACCACAACCATCCTTTTAACATAGGGGAGTTGTGAAAAAAATTGGGATGCTCTCACCTTTCTAAAGCGAGCAAATGATACCCTTTAAGGGCATAAACAGTGGTTCAAAATGCTAATGTCTATATATATAATCTTTCAAATCATATCTAGATGATGTGGAATCAACTTGTATAATATATTTGTCTATTTTGTAATCTGTAGTAGATTTGAACCATTAATGATTTGATACTACATAAAGTATGTGGTATTAGGGTGTGCACTCCCCTTTCCCATCTTTTGCTCTCTCGTTTTATGCACGATTGTTTTCTGAACTTCTACATGGTGTTTTTTTAAAAATATATATATAGAAAAGTTGTTTTAAAAATCATATTAATATTTTTGAAATGTTTTTAGTTAATACTTAATTAACCATGCACTAATGAGCTACCATTTTTCTGTGCGGGGAATGGCTTATGAACTAGTAAATTGAACTAACCCTAAGCACTCTATACTCCTTTGGACATAGGATTCTTAAAATGCAGGAATAGGAACGTAAGATTCGAATATTATTGCACCTTAAATCCTATGGAAAGAAAAACACATGAAAACTACACGGGAAAATGTTTGGATGGAGTTAAGAAAAAACACACGATTTAGAAGAGAGATAGACACAAATGGAAAAAAATCCAAGACCTTGGAGCTCTTGATAGGAACTTTAGAGAAATTCCCAAAAAAACATGCCATTCCATAGGAATTTCAGCAGAATTCTAGTGACCCAATCCTTTGTTCCAGAGGACTTCATATGATTTTTTTTTCCAATAGGATTTAAATCCTTTGAAATTCCTCTCTGTTTTTTATTCGGACGGCTAACCAGTGCCTAGCGCCTAAACCTGTCGAGGCAGCGACTAGGAGGGGAAAAGACCATGTAGACTTGCAGAAGGAGGACCAGAGGGGCAAATCTAGTGGAGGCGACACCACCATCGGCCATGCTGGGGAGGGAGATGGAGAAAAGCAGAGAGAAAGAGGGTATAAGAAGAGGGAAAGAAGACGATTTGAACGACATAAGAGGATGCCTACCGTGCTCACCGCTGTCGATGCCCTTCGCTACAAGAGGAAGACAAAGACGCCCCTCGTGTTCCTTGTGTTCCATGCAGGAGGGGTGGACCAGATTAAGAGAAAACCCTCGTGTTCCACGTGTTTTCCTGGGCCAACTGGGCCATGATGTATAAAGGTCATTGGATTATAATTCTTCTTTCTAGTCTCCTCCTGATCGATACATACGCCGCCACGTGCGAGAAGACTTCCACGAGCTTATCTGAGAAGCATCAAGCCCCACCGCCTCCATGTGTGACCTCCGCACGAGGTCCGCCGAGCAGCACCAAACCCTTGCCAGGGCGACTAGTCCGCCTAGCACGCCGACTAGGGGCAAATCGCGGGTAGGGACTCGCCGCTGAGCACCTAACAATCGGCAAAGGCGACGGCTATTTTTGGAACACTGCCCCCTCCCCACCCCCTCTCTCACTTTTTTCGAAAAGTGAATCATAGGCTTGAGCAATTCTCATTAAAGATTTTGAACTCTGTTCAAACAAATGAGTTTGGTCTAGCTATGAGATCAAATTTTATGCATATGGATAAGGGTTTCTTTAAGTCAAGAATTTTACAAGATTTTCATTCAATTCATTTCTAGTCCTTAAAAATCATGTGGAATTATTCCACCATTTTCGCATGAGGATTGAATGATATGTGTCCATACCATATTCCTCCCTCCTTCACGACCACATCCATATTTGTCCACCAAGATAAATTAAAAACTCCCACAACAGAAAATACGAATCTGATGCTACGTGCATTCCAAACTTTGCACACATCAATTTCTTAGAATAATCAATAAAAATTCTAGCGCTATGCATGTATGTACTACCTCTGTTTCAGGTTATAAGACGTCTTGACTTTAGTCAAAGTCAAACTGCTTTAAGTTTGATCAAACTTGTAAGAAAAAATAGTAATATTTTTAATTTAAGATAAATTTATTATGAAAATATATTCAATTATTGATTTGATGAAACTAATTTAGTATTATAAATATTACTATATTTGTCTGTAAACTTAATCAAACTTGAAATTAAAACGGAGGGAGTACTGTTTTACCAGGAAAATTGCGGGGTGAGCTGTTTGGCAGCACCCCTTGATCTATCACTGCCAGACTGCGCATCACAGTACTAGTACTGCTACCACTACCGGAGAGAATGTCAGCGTCGCGATCGCGAGAGCTTTTTCCATCCAAGGAATGAAGGAGCCAAAGTTCGCCTCTCCATCAAAGATTGGCCAAATAGTTCGTGCCACGTTAATGCGTATATATGTTGCTACTACTATTCGAGAAATCGAGATCAACAATGGCACTATATACTGTATGTGTGTGGGTACAAATGTACAATGTGCAGTACAAACAAGTGCAACTTGGCCACGTACTACAGCTACCAGCTATCATCCTCCATCTATCCCTGCACAGAAGATGGGATCGGATGAGATCACTGTGCAGTCACCGTCGTCCATCGCCTGGGGGAGGGGACCAGAGCCATACGTGGGTCGTCCGGTATGTGCAGCTGGATGGCTCCCTGCAAAACCCAATTTTGGGTAGGTCGAACCAGTGATTTTTTACACGTTGAGAGGCCGGCCCGTCCGGATCTGATCGTATCTATCCGATCCAGGCCAGTTGTGTGGAAAATATAGTGGTATTTTCAACCAAAAAGAAACATATATATTGTTAAAATATATTCAATATTAGATTTATTTTAGTTGTTGTTAAATTTTTATATAAATTTAGTTAAACTTAACAGAAAAAAAGTCAAACAACTTATAATATAAAATTATAAAAAATGAGGGATTATTGTATTATATTGAATTTTTATAGGGTATATGTAACGTACATGTGAGATAGAGATTTTGAGTATACAAGTTACACTTACACGTACGTTTTTTTTTTTTTTTGAGAGGACCTACACGTACGGTTGATCTATCATCACCAGCCGCATTCGTTACAGTGCCGCGTATTACCGATGCAACTATGCAAAAAGCACACGCGCTACGTGCATTAGAGCAGGTACAATAGCAGGCTATTAGCCAGCTGTAAATATATTTTAATGAGATAAGGATGAGAGAGAAGAGTAGCAGGCTATAGATCTGTAGCCAGCTGCAGCATGGACTCCAAGACGCAATGTGTGTATGACATGTGGGACCATATATTAATAGTATAGTAAGCAACTATTGTATAAATTAGCTATTAGATTGGCTATAAATGAATTGGAGCTAGTAGTGGGCTGTACTATTAAACTTGCTCTTAGTATGTTAGGCTGGCTACTACTCTGCTGCACCGCACCAGCATATTGATCTCCAACATCTTCCAATTCACCGTATCCTCTCAATCCGGCCTAAAGCTCTACAGCAATATTGGAGGACAATGTTGGATACAGGATTGAAACTATTTCATGCAAAAAAGAAAAGGAAAAAAGTAACTGTGGATGGGAGTGGGCTAAGGCAAGTTTCACTACTACAAAACATCAAATAGGTATCGCCACTATAGGTATCGGTAGT